CCACAGGGTTTTTGATAAATGTCAGAGAGTAGAGAGTTCCAGGTCCCTTTCTCACTCTGATCCACCTATACCGGTCTTCCCATGTTCATTCCTGTCTCTGAACATTTTCTTTTGTTGTTCCCATTGTTTGGACCACTCTTTACTCAGATCTTTACATGGCTGCAGTTTTCTCATTATTCAGTACTTAGCTAAAATGTCATCTCTTTAGATATGTTTTTCCTGACAACCATATCTGAAGTTGTATCCAGAGCCTCTCAATCTGCACTGTGCCCAGAGATCACCCAAAGATCATGTTACAATGCAGACTCTGACGCAGTGGTTCTGCGATGTGACTTGAGATTCTAGATTTCAAGCACGCTGCCAGGAGATGCAATCCAGAGGTTCTATAAGACACTCTGAGGCTGGGCACGGTGGCTCACGCCTGTAATCCCAGCACTTTGGGAGACCGAGGAGGGCAGATCACCTGAGGTCAGGAGTTCGAGACTGGCCTGGCCAACATGGCGAAACACCATCTCTACTAAAAATACAAAAATTAGCTGGGCGCGGTGGTGGGCGCCTGTAATCCAAGCTACTCAGGAAGATGAGGCAGGAGAATCACTTGAACCCAGGAGGCGGAGGTGGCAGTGAGCCGAGATCATGCCATTGCACTCCAGCCTGGGCGACAGAGCGAGACTTCGTCTCAAAAAAAAAAAAAAAGACACTTTGAGTAACAGCTTCACCTCTCCATGTCTATTACCTATTTTATTTTCTTCACAGTGTTTCTCAGTATTCGAAATTATTTGATTATTTGGTGGTTGGTTGTTTACTATAATGTAAATTCCCTAAGAGCAGGGACTCTGACCAATTTGTCCAACTTTGTACTCCTGGCAGTTAACACAGTACCTGGGGCATCAGCAAATGCCCTTTAAATATTGCTAAAGGAATGATTTTATGATTCATTAATTCCTTTATCTGTTCAGTGACTGCTTAGTTATATGCCAGGAATTAACTATAAATGACAGAAGGTAGTGCTACTTAAGTGCTAGCCTATGAACTGCTAGGTACTCTGGTTCAAGCTGAGATAAGCTTGAACTCGAATGTAAATCTGATATGTCATTAAGCACGGTGGTTATTTAGGATGCCATGTTTTTTCTTTTTTCCTTTTTTTTGAGACAGAGTTTCACTCTTGTTGCCCAGGCTGGTATGCAATGGCTGATCTCGGTTCACTGCAACCTCCACCTCCCAGGTTCAAGTGATTCTCCTGCCTCAGCCTCCTGAGTAGCTGGGATTACAGGCATGCAACACC